GACATCGAGCTAGGCAGCTAGAAATCGCTGTCGCAACGTCGCCTACGCGCCCCAGAAAGATGGAGTCGAAGTTGTCTCTTGGCGTTGAACAACTCGGAGCTGATTTCAGCCAGAAAAATGGTAATCATTCGGAACATATGTGTGATTTGCATCTGAACTTGGATGATCTTGGATGTTTCTGCTTGAAACTATGTAGTTTCCATATTTATTGTTTCCATAAGGATCCAGGGTGTAAGCAGTCAACCAATCGTAGGATGGGTTTCACTTCGGCAGGATTATGGCAAGATAATGGCTTGACTCCCATACTGGATATATTTAACAATTACTGTATTAACACCAACTCTGTGAATGTCTGGCATGGTGCCATCCAGACACCGAAAGAGGACCCAGGCATGTGCAGAACGTGTTTGTGCGAAGATGTATGCATGGATGATATGCAGTGTCTATGATGTGTACGGATTCCGTTCGTATCGTTTGCTAAGGCATTTGGGTCCTGAATGCACGCAGGAGAGTCATGCATCTGGGTCGCATTGGGCCAGAAACCTTTTCGCGGCTTGCACTGGTAGATGAGTAGGGCATGGAGGATTTTTGAGGAGTTGGGACAACATAACATGTCTGTGTTAGTCTGTCAGGTTGTGGCTAAGAAAAGGCAATCAACTTGGGCTATCGCCAAGCATTACCTTCATCTCCCAGCTGGCCCACCACCTGCATAGAAGACCAAATTAGAATAGATTTGACCCAAACTTTCTCATGGGTTTGTCTGAAAGATGTATTTGAAAAAAAAGCTACCCCCAAAGTTTGCTTCATCATGGTTCATCATGGTTCATCAATTTCCCCACTAAGTTTGCCTTTTTCGTTCGTCTCCAGTGCTTCTCCCGGGACCAAACGTCGCCCGAGGTGGTGGATGGCCTGCCACCGACGCCAGCCACGTGCCTTCCCGAAGGCGAAACAGGCTCCGAGGAGGAGGTGGAGAAGGGCGAAAAGGCGCGGCAGCGGCGTTGACGGAGCTCGGAGAGCCGCTGGGAGACCCTAAAATGGTGAGAACTTAAGGACTCTATAGGGAACATGAGGATAAAATATGGATGAATATAGCGTATATTGTTTTTTCTTTCTTTTTTTTAATGGATTTGATTAATTTGTTTAAGACATAGTCATTTCTATTTGTTTTTGTTATGTGGGATGACCATTCAGAATAACCTTTGTTAATGACTAACAGTTTGCAAACTGGAAGCCATGACCGATTTACTTTGATGATAATTTCCTTGTCACAATGGTAACTTTCTATAGCAAACTGTTGAATCACGAGAGGGTATTCCATGGGGGAGATTCGATGGGAGCAGGATTCACACTACATGTGTGCTGTGGTCAAAGGTTGGAAGATAGACTTCTATTGCAAAATGATGGGGAAAAATCGAAACAAACACATGTGCGGGATTACAATGGCCAACAGAAGGATTCCCAAGGCGGTGACCATCCATTAATGGAATGTACCATGGTATCGGTATAGCCTAACATATGTGCATGATGGATTCCTTATTCACTCACGGTTCCGATTCCTGGGACAGGTGGGGAGTCTTTGGAATTCCGTTCTGTGATGCTGGACCAGTGTAGCTCGTTTCGTGGAATTTATTACTTTTAAAGATATGTTGTCCCAAATGAATGATTCAGAGACGAGTCAAAAGCATCATGTTGGACCCCAAATGCATGGTTCAATGGTAGGACCGGAACCATTACCATTTTTTTTGGAACCACATGGGTCCATTCAAGCAGCTTGTCCAATTCCACCGACAGGTAGTTGGAAAAAGCTTGGGGGATTTGTTCATATTTTTTTCAACATACCCTAGAGTCATTTCACCCAGTTGTTTTTCCTTTTTTTATTTGTGGCTTTATTATGTTTTATTGTAAAATGTAAAGAGTATCCTCGAAGATATTGTGGTGTTCTATATATAATGTTCTATACCTGGCTAGATGGTATAGTATAGAGCGGTGGCTGCCAGGCAGATATACTTTTTCCATCGCAAGAGATGGGAGGATTGTGGGTCTAATGCCGGTTGCTACAAATCGCCAAGTATGGTGATCCCCCAAAAAAGATCCAAAAAACTTGTTTAACACTTGTTGTAGGTCGCAATCATAGCCACAAATCATTATATATAAACCATGTAACATCATGTAACTAACTATGACATGCCATGAGTTGATAGCAAAGTATCCAAAAATTGTTACATGTGTGGCTACCATGTCAAGCCCCGACTGCATTGCCAATGCTGAAACCCGGAGGTCACTTTCCACTGGGAAGTTGTAACATGTTGTAACATGTTTCTGTACAACGAGAAATCCCCCACACAACAATTGGTTCAACAATTCCATGATGTTTTTAAATAGACGTTCCCCCGCGGGCTCACTTCACATGTTTGGTTCTTGAACTCTGCAAAAGCGGCAAGTGTTCTTGCCTAAAGAACTGATTTATTGTTTTCTACCTCTTAGCAACCTACCTACCCCCAAAAAATTACTTTACTTCGTGTGATCCCCACCATGACATTTATACATTTTCTTACTGGCAAATCTTCTGGCATTCTATCTGACATATCTTCTGACATTCTATTTGACATTCTATCTGGCATATCTTCTGGCATATGATCTGGCATATCTTCTGGCATATCTTCTGGCATTCTACTGGCAAATCTTCTGGCATTCTATCTGCCATATCTTCTGGCATTCTATCTGGCATATCTTCTGGCATATGTTCTGGCATATCTTCTGGCATTCTATCTGGCAAATCTTCTGGCATTCTATCTGGCATATCTTCTGGCACTCTATCTGACATATCTTCTGGCATATGATCTGGCATATCTTCTGGCATATATTCTGACATATCTTCTGGCATTCTATCTGACATATCTTCTGGCATATATTCTGACATATCTTCTGGCATATCGTCTGGCATATCTTCTGGCATATCTTCTGACATATCTATCTGGCATATCTTCTGGCAT